CTAAGTAATTTAAGAAATATATCAATAATTGATGCACGATCAAGTGCTGTACATTCAGCAAAACGACAATGTAATGGACCAAGTTCATTGAGCATTGTTTGGACATTTTGTTCTTCAACTTCACGAACAGATGTACGATCTGTTTTATTTCCAACAACAACAATTGGAATTTCAGCATAATTTGTACGTTGTTCTTTTATTTGTTCAATTATATGACGAATTTCTTCAAACGATGACATACTATCAACACCTTAAATTTTAAGAAAATAAAATTAATAATCTTTAGTTTTTTGACAATTTACTATAGACAAGAATAAATGCATGTGATGTTGCAATTGATAAACGACGCATTGCCGGAAATTCCATATTGCCTAAATAAATTAATTGAATATAAATATTTCTTTTTATTTTATGTTACCAGCTGTATCTAATATATCAACTTTAATTGTTTTATCATCAACAGTGAATTCTCGATAATGTAAATCTTCAACTGTTTCTTTATATGTATCCAAAAATTTTCCATTTAAAAACATATGAATTATAGATGATTTTCCTGTACGACTAGCTCCAAGTAGAACAAGACGATAACGTGTATCTTGATCAGTCATATTAATTGTTCTTGGACTATTTGGTATTGCAGTTGTAAAATCGTATTCCTAAAGAAAGTTTTTATTTTAATTTTTTGTTTTTTATATCACAATAAGTTATCTTTGATTTTTAATTAACTTTAGAAGGAGAAAAAAAACAACAAAAAGAACAATATTGTTAAACTATCTATCATTTTCTCTCTTTTGCTTTCTATGTGTGTTATTAACAACAGGAAAAGAAACTGCGGAAAAACACAAACTAAGCTGCTCATAGATCATGCAGTCTTAGGTTCTGATTCTTTTTTGTACTGGAAGAAAGACAAAAAGATTTTAGATGTCAATGTGCAACTACTTCAACGAACCTGGAGAACGGAAGTGTGGTAGAGAGAGAAACGAGAGGAGAAGAAGAAGAAAAAAATGACTGCAAACGTTAAACATGGCTGTCGAAGTCTAAGAAGAAAAAATATCAGTAACATGTGATACTGACTCGTGCATCGCTTTTGCGTGTTCATACTCGTTTGAAGTGAAACTTATTATCAACAAAAAAAAAAAAAAAACGGAAAAGCATTCCATAGTGTATGATAAAAGATTGATTACTAACAGAAATCTTTTCTTATCATTCACGTATTTAATTGTGTTTTTTTTCTTCTATGAATTTTCGTGATAGCAAGTAAGAGAGAGAGAGAGACAGGAAAAATAATATGAGAAATAAAGAATGAGTAACCTTAAACGAGTGTATCAACAAAGAACATTCATAAAATATAATATTTATGCTAGTGTATATATATATATATCTGCATTTTACTCTGTTGAACTAAATAATTTATAGGGTTGTAAATACTATTTGTGTATATTTTACTAATGAGTAATTATGCATTGAAATCTAATATTTTATCTTTTATCTTTAGTTTCTTTTGAGTCTATGATTAACCATAGTTTACGTCAAAAGGAAACATTTTTTTCTTATTTTTTTTTTATGATAAACCATCAAGAAAATTGCATACCTCATTTTCCTGTATATCCATTATAATTGAAGCGAATTTGTATGTTGAAGTAATAATAATAATAATAATAATGTTTATGACAAAAAATTTGATGAAAATATAAACTATAGATGAAATCAGTAGGATAAAATATCTATAAAAATTTTACTCTTATCGAGTGTTGATGTGACACGCTCTTATAAATATATAGATAGATAGATAGATAGATAGATAAGAGATGAATAGAGAAATGAATGAAGAGAGAAAACTAATAATAATTGGTATTAGAAAGACGAGTCAATGATAATATGAAAAAAGAAAAAGATGTTGAAAATAAAAAAAGAAGAAAAAGAGAACTAGTGAATACCGTTGGAAATTCTACAGTTTTTATTTCTATTAATCTTTGACGTAGGATAAATTGAATAGACCTCGATCAACAACATCTTTTTTTTTATTACCTACATAATGGATGTATATGAAATGAAAAAAAGTACAATAATCGAGAACACATAGACATATTGATGAGTGCGTCATGATTTTATAGTGAAAGGAAAAGGATATGTATCGCCTGACATATGATGCGCACGATAAGATTCTGAAAGAGTTAGAAAAGAAAATGGAAATAGAAAAGTAGTAAATTAGCGAAGCCCCGTTGATATATATATATATATATTTTTTGTTAAAAGAGGGTTCATATTATAAAGAAAATTGCTCAGAATATAAAATTTATCAGTCGATAAAAGAAAAAAAAGAAAGCAAAGGGCGTAGGAGAGAGAGAGAGAGAAAAAAAATAGTTGACAAATAGACGCAATTGTCGATGATTATGTCAAGTATGAACGTTACTTGGTTTATTGATAGTTAGCTTTCCGTTTAAAGTGTTCATTTCTTTTTTTTTCTCTTTATACGTCAGAAACGAACGATTAGTTGTAAAAAATCTGTTTTATATTAACCAATTACTAAATTGTAGTTTTATAACTAGTCTATCTTTTTTTTCACTTCTACTTTTTCTTTTTCTTTTTGTCTTAAAAATAGTAACTATCTATATGATGTATAGATTTTTCTGAATATGTTCATTGAAATGCATGAATACTCTTTTTCTATTCTTTTATAGTTTCTGGTTTTCTATGGCACATATTATACAATAGATCATAATTCATGTGAACTCAAGACATAGTACACATTACTGTTGTCATTTATGGTATTTCTAGTTGGCATAATCATTCTTTTCATTGTCTCTAGTTTCTTTTTTCTCATCTAACTTATTAATTGGTTATCGAGTTTTCTTTTCATCATTCAACTTGAGCAGATACACTCATTTGACATGCTTATTGTAAGCGTCAGACACGAACATAAACCGATGTCTCTCTTCTTGTTCTTAGTTTCCGTATATGTCATCCATAAGAGCTATTCATTCTCATGTTCAATTAGTTAGCAACCAATGTCATATAAGAAATTTGACGTCTAGAACATGAATATGCTCTTGTAATGTGAATGTCTAACACATCAGTTTATCTTGACTAGTTTCTTCTTACTTCTCAAAAAAAAAAGATCATTATTTGAATGATAATTTTTAAGAGGATTAGATTTGTTTCACTTGTTCTTTTTTTCTAATGAAAATTTATATAAATATATACTTTTGCTTATTCATAAAAAAAAATTCAATTAAGATTTCCATATGATAAATTTGTCAAGTGATACAAAAAATATTTTGTATGCAACAAAAAAAAACTATACTTTGATGTTATTGATCAAAACAATTTCATGTTTGATCGTTAGTGTATGTTCATTTACCTTTATTATTGAAAACGACGAGCCAGAAAGTCGAGTGTTGCTTTTATTCCACCAAACACGCTATTCATCTGTGATAAAAAAAAGAAGAAAAAGAGAAAATTTTCATAGTTTATTACAATGTGTCTTCATTTACGTCAAAGTATATGCATATATGTGTATTCCGGATGTTGTTAGAACTCTTTCATCCGCAAAAATCTATTCGACTCTCAGGCACTGACAACAAATGAACAAGAACATTACTACAAGATTCACTTGTCACAAAAACAAAATCATAATAACTACAATTTTTTTTCTTCTGCTTCTCTATCTGACAACTGGGACGCGTATATGAAGTAACAAATAGCATGCAGACAGATCAATATAACATCTCACGCATTTTTGTCATGAAGCTATTTTTCATCTAGTTTTCATATTCTCACTATGTAGAATGATAATGAAGATGATGATGATGATAATATGTTGATGTGAGAAACATTTACCTTATTTATTCATATCTTTTTTTTCTGAATGCTACTCACGCTCATGCATATTAGAATCAAGGATAGAATAATGTTTATGCGTATGTGTGAGATTTATATTTATTAGAGTAGATTAAAAACCGAACTCAATGACATTAGAATATTTACAAGTAACTTTAATCAAGTGAGCAAATGATGAGAGATCATGACGTCAGGGTTACAGATGTTCATATATTTCGACTCATTATACTATTTGCTTATTACTTAAAATATGCTTTTATTTTATAGAATATTAATCAAATATTAATTGAGAAAATTCTCTTTTTTTTGTGCTCGATAGTTATTATCTAGATTGAGCTTTTATTTTTATTAGTTGAATAAATTATATATAATCATTAGTATTTTTTTTTATTTTTAACATATATAGTTATTTATAAATAAAAAATTTTTACATCAATCGAAACAGCTCAAACAAAATAAAAATATATATCTATATTGATTATTATTGAAAGTAATCCGTACATTATATAAATTTCTAGTCTTTTCTCATGAGCTTTATAAACCGGAAACAAGTTGACATTTAAATGTAGGCGAAGATTTAACGTCAAAGCCGTTTTCCTATAGAATTTTTGATTTTATCAGACAATTATATAATGTGTTTAATCCTGATTTTATGATATTTCAATGATTCTATTATAAAAATAGTAACAGAAAAAAACGATAATATATATATTTTTGTTACAACTAGACAAGAAAATGATTATAGTAACATAATAAAAATAATAATCATTGTGAACAGTTGTATTTTACCTGAAGGCTAATGTGTCTAAATATACAAATATCAAATGAAGTCAATCGATTGGTCATGTATTGCGAGAGAGACAATAATAAATAATTGTACTCCTAAGTTCATCTAACCGTTAGTCTTCTTTTTGCGTGCATGCATGCATAAACACATCTAGTTGTTCAACTAGTAACACATTGATTTAATCTATTAGGTCATCGTTCATCCGCTCTCTCCTTTGCCGATTGAATATATCCTGAAGGCTTTACATAGAAAGAAACTGAATGAGAAAAGAAGAAAAAAAAAAAGCGAGTATATGTATGATAATACATATAAGAGTCAAAATATATACATCATACAATTTATATGTATATACATATTCAATTTTGAACTAAAGATGAAAGTTATAATAGTATTAATAATAGTATTATTAATAAATTATTCTGATGAAAATACTCCACCATTAGGAACATCAAGTGTAGCATTTGTATTTGATGTAACTGGATCAATGCATGATGATCTTTTACAAGTTATTGAAGGCGCAACACATATATATAATGCAACACTTCGACGTGAATATTCTATTTATGATTACATACTTATACCATTTGCTGATCCAGGTAAAAGAAAATAATAAAATATTCAAAAACGAAAACAACAATTTTTGTTTTAATATGCTTATATATATATAGATGTTGGTCCTGTATTAAAAACGCGTGATTCAAATCGATTTCAACGTGGTTTACAAGATTTAATTGTCCAAGGTGGTGGTGATTGTCCAGAAATGACAATAACGGCAATTAAATTAGCACTTGAACAATCATTACCAAATTCATTTATTTATGTTTTTACTGATGCTCGTTCAAAAGATTATATATTAGGTGATATTGTTCTAAAACTAATTCAAGAAAAACAAAGTCAAGTAAAAAGAAATATTTATTTTCAATTTTATTTTTGATTTTTATCTTTCTGTATCATAACAAAAGGTTGTATTCGTTATGACAGGTGATTGTGGTGATCAAACTCATATTGGCTATCAAATATTTCATAAAATAGCTGCAACAAGTAGTGGACAAGTATTTACATTACATAAACAACAAGTCAGCGAAATTCTTAATTTTGTCCAATATACAATTCAAACACGAAAAGTTAATTTATTAGTTATTGATAATATCAAACGAAATAAACAAAATTATACATTAGCAGTTGATTCAAAACTTTTAGAATTTACTATATCAGTTAGTGGTGCAAATCCACAAGTAATCTTAATTGATCCATCAAGTATGAATAATAATACTATTGAATACATGAGAATTTTTTTGTTCATAGAAAAAACATTAAATCCACGTGATTGGTTTACACGTCTTTTACGTCTTAAAGAAGTTTATATATTAAATGTTAAACACCCAATGGTAAATTCATTTTTATTTTTGACATAAAGATAATTAAATCTCTTGTCGGATTTGATGAATTATAAAAACAATGACTATACGCAGTTCTTTATATTCATTTTTAGATTGGTCAATGGCAAATTCAAGTCACATCGTCATCTGCACATTCAATTCGTATAACAGGTTTAAGTCGATTAATATTTCGACATGGATTTTCATCAAATCCTGTGACGGATTTAATTCGAACACGTCGACAACCAATGCAAGGTTCTTTAACTTATTTAATACTTGAAATCGATAATAAAGATGATATTCGTAATGCTGAACAAATTGAATTAATTGATTTATTTGGTAATGTACTTGTCAATGAAACAATTCAAGAAAGTCCATTTATTCCATCATTTTATTCAACAATTGAAAAATTTCAACCACCTATTCATAATTCTTTCTTCTATATTCGAGTAATGTATATAACTATGTGTTTGTTCTTGTATTAATTTAATATATTAAATTTAGTTAACTGGTATTGATAGTAGTGGTCATCGTTTTCAACGTTTGAGTTCAACAGCACTTGCATCCTATGTTCCATTAAAACCAGTTGTTAATATTGATATAAATTCTATTAAAATACGATCAAATAATCCCGCTAAAATTCAATGTCATACTCAAAGTCAACTTGCATATCAAGTTCAATGGTTAAGAAATGGACAATTATTATCGATATCGAATTATTCGTATATAAAATATCATAGAATCGTTTTTTTTATTTGCAATATTTATATTCTAGAGCTGATATAACTACTGTTGAATATTTAATTGATCAACCAAGAGAAATTAATGATGAGGGATCTTATATATGCAATGTAACAAGTGCAAGTGGATTTGATATTGGTGAAATTAAAGTTGATGTACTTGGTAAGTTTAAAATAAGAAGAAAAGATTGAATTTTTATTTAAATTATAAAAAATAGCTCCACCACCACTTATTCAAATTGTACCATCAAAATCATTATTTGCATTAATTAATAGCTCGGTTTCAATTGATTGTCGAGTACAAAATACTGAAAATTATAATTTGAAATGGAAACAAGATCTATCACCATCGATATTAGTTGAATTATCTAAAGATCGAACACAAATTTATGAAAATGGCACTTTAGAAATCAAGTAAATTATTCTAAAAAACAAATTTCTATTTATTTTCTTATTAATATTTAGAAATATTCAAAAATCTGATGATGGATCAGTTTTTGTATGTATTGTAAATAATGAAGGTGGTGAAACACAAGAACGTATTATAATCTATGTACAAGGTATAATTTATTTTAAATGTTATTTAATTATATATATAAATATTATATGAATAGAAATTCCATATGTTTATGTTTATCCTCAAACAATAATCTATTCCTATCAATGGAATATTACATTGACATGTGTTGGTATGACTGGAATTCCACGTCCATTATTAGTATGGAGAAGACAAAATAATCTAAATCCAATTGAACAATCAGCAAAAGTACGAAGTCATAATGGAATTTTAAACATTATGATGGCAACTAAAGAAGATGAAGGTTCTTATGAATGTATTGGAAGTAATACAGCAGGTGTAGATATTAAAACTGCTCAACTTATCTATGCTGGTATATTATTTAATATGAATATATTCTATTGAATTTATCTTGTTTTTTTAGAAACACCAATAGTATCAACAAATCATTCACATGTATTGATGTCACCTGGTGATGACATTGATTTGATATGTACTGTAACAGGTGAAATGTTTCCTGATGTACAATGGTACAAAGATGATGAACTTGTAAGATTTTAAATTTTCAATTTGATGTATTTTTTAATAATATAAATAAAGGTAACTCGTTATCGAACAAATATAAATGGATATTTAGAAATAAGAAACGCATTAATAGAAGAAGATAGTGGTAATTATACATGTTTTGTTCAAAATACAGTTGGATCATCATCTGTTTCAATTCGTGTTGATGTTGGAGGTAAGAAAAAAAATAATTCTTCTTTATTTTTATTCTTTCTTTTTTGATAAGTTAAACCAACAATAAATATTTCTAATGAACAAATTCAAGTTGAAATAGATGAGCAAGTTCAACTTATTTGTGAAGTATATGGTTCACCTAACCCTCAAATAATGTAACAAAAAATTTTTATTATCGAAACAAAAATATTTATTTGTTTATTTATTTGTTTAGTTGGTATTATAATCATACAGAACATCTCTATGATAATGATAACAAAACAGAAATACTTCTTAGAAACATTCAACAATATCATACTGGAATTTATACATGTTTTGCTAGTAATCTATTTGGAAATGCAAGTGCTAATTTTAATTTAAGCGTTACAAGTATATATAAACTTATTTGAAAGTTAGTTATAAATATTATGATTATTTTAGTGATTCCACGATTTACTTTTGAATCTGATAGATATTTAAATGGAATTATTTTAAAACCATTGATTTTATCTTGTGATCATATTGGTTTACCAAAACCAGCGGTCACATGGTTTAAAGATGATCAAGTAAAATAGGATATCTTCTTTGAATGATTTTCTTTTTTTGACAAAAATATTATTTAGATATTAGTTTTTGAACAAGATCGAATAAGTATGGATTCAACAAGTTCATTAAATATCAATTCATTGAAACCAACAGATCGTGGTTCATATATTTGTCAAATTTCAAATCAATTCGGACAAGCAAAACAACAATATCAAGTTGATGTTTATGGTATAAAAATTCTTTCCCTCGATTTTATTTCGTCGAGATATTTTTTACTAGTTAAAAATACATCCACAATTAAAAAATATGTGACATAATAATAATAAAAGTTAGTTATTAACTATAAGAGACTAGAAAAAAAATTACAGATGTTTAAAAAAAGAAGTATCAAGCTGAAGGACAAACTAATGAGTTACGACGTTGTTTCATACTGAGTTCTTTTTTTAGTAAATCTTATATAAATACACAAATAGGACACCGTGAGAGTCGTCTGGTACCTCGACTATTATAATTAGAATCGAAGCCTATAAATTCTATACATTAATCTATTTTAGAACCACCCAGTTTGTTAAATAATTCTCAAGAAATTGAACTTGATGTCAATGCATCCATGTCAATTCTTCTTTCTTGTCCAATTACTGGTTATCCTCAACCAACTATCGAATGGTTTCGTCAAAATAATTCCATGAATTGTAAGTATATCTCTTTAATATTCACTATACAAATTCTTTTAAACAATTTTTATCTAGATAATCAAGATACAAATATGTATTTACATTCAAATGGTTCTCTGGAAATCAGAAAAGTTGAAATAACACATCAAGATCAATATCATTGTATAGCAACAAATCCAGCAGGAACAACTACTCACTACATACAACTCAATGTTAATAGTATAGATTTCATTTAATAAAAAGAAGATAATAACTTGTTTTTTTTTTCTATTTTTCAAGTTCCACCTTGGATTATTGGTGGTGAAGAAGAAACTATGGTACAAGCTTTACTCAATAAATCAATAACATTGGTATGTCCTACAACAGGTACACCAAAACCAACTATTCAATGGTTTAAAAATGATGAACAACTTGAAACATTTGACGATAATAATCATTATATATTAACAAATATTAAACAAACAGATGAAGGTATTTATCGATGTACAGCAACAAATAAAGCTGGTAGAACACAACGATTATTTAATATATCTGTTTATAGTAATAATTAAATTTTTTTCTATTATTTTAATTTAATCTTTTTTATATTTAAATAAAAAATAGTGTCACCTTATTTTGAACATCAAACAGAAAATATAAGTCGTCTTCAAATAAAATCCGTTATATTAAATCATACATTAATATTATTATGTCCAGCTATTGGTTTACCTAAACCAAAATTATTATGGTTTTATAATGGAAATGAAATTCAATTGAAAAAAAAACATATTCTTATTAAACAAAATGGAAAAAAATTGATTCTTAATAAAATAAAAGTATAATGAGAATATAAAAATCTTAGAGGAAAATAAACTTTTAATTATTTAATCTAGTCCGAAGATGAAGGTCGATATATTTGTCAAGCAACAAATACAATTGGAACAATTGATATTATATATGATGTTAATGTTATGAGTAAAATAAATAAATTTTTTATTATTTTGAATTTTAGTTTCTTTTGAATTATTTTAGTGCCACCAAGATTTACAAAAGAAAATAATGGAATGTTTGCTAATAAACAATCCTATAAAAATGGAGAATATTTACGTTTACCATGTTCAGTTGAAGGAAAACCAGTACCTGTACGACGATGGTTTTTTAATGGAAAAAGTATAGCTCAGTTACCACGTATACGGTAAATAAGAATTTACTCGATGGTTTTTTTTGAATAACCCTCTATTTATTTCTAAGATTTGTATATGATGGTCTTTATATTGAAATTGAATATTTAACATTGAATGATGCTGGTCGTTATACATGTTTAGCTGAAAATTCTGCTGGTCATGCTGAAAATCATATTGATATTGATGTATCAAGTAAACATTTCTTACAATATAGTTAAATAAAAATACATATAAATATATATTTAGTTCCTCCTGTATTTAATGATTCATTATCACAAGTTAAAATACAAGCATTAATTAATTCAACAGTTTCATTAGTTTGTTCAGCATATGGTTTTCCAAAACCTACATATAATTGGTCATTGGAAACAAATTTACTATTGAACACAACTGGAGACGAAGAGTTGCTTCTTGAAAATGTTCAGGTTAAATAATTTATTTTACTTATTTTTAATAATATTGTTTATTATTTATTTAGATTAATGATACAGGTGTATACGAATGTATAGCAATGAATAGAGCAGGTGAAATTCGAAAAAGATTTATAGTAGAAACATATGGTAAGTAACATATTTTTATTAAAAATAAATTTCTTTTTTTCATTTCGAAAGAATTACCATCAATTAATTTAAATAATGAAACAAATCGTATCATTATTCGTCGTAATGAAAGTTTAAATCTCGAATGTCCAGCAAGTGGATATCCAATACCTGTAACTCGATGGTTAGACAACTTATTCAGAATTTATATTGATATTAAATCTCAGTTTTTATATAGGTATAAAAATGAAATCGAATTATATGAATTTAATAAAGAAGTATACATAGCATCTGTAGATAGACAAGATGCAGGACTTTATTCATGTATTGTTTCAAATAGCTTTGGAATAGATCGACGATATTTTAATATTATTATATCAGGTTAATTAAAATAATAATCTTTGTTTAAAAAAAATTATTTAATATAGGACCACCGGAGATTTTACGAAGTCATATCAATACTAATCCAAGTGTCGTTCGAGATTCTTCAATAACACTTTCATGTCCTTATACAACTGAACGATCTTCAATGATAACAATAACAAATACAACATGGATTCCACCTTTATTTCAACCTGAACATGAATTAATTCGTCATTCATTAAAATTAAATGAAAATCAATTAATAATTCCAAATGTACAAATAGAAGATGGTCAAATATGGAAATGTATCGTTGCAAATGAATATGGTTTTGATTCACTTGAATTTCAACTTGAAGTTCTTGGTAATTTTCTTGAACTTTATCTATTATAATTTATTCATTTATTTTTTATTTCAGTCCCACCTACAATTTTAAATGGAGATACAGAAGAATTATTTCAAGTTGAAAGTAATAATACAGTTCAATTGATATGTCAAACATATGCACATCCATTAGCAACTATTGAATGGCGTAAAAATGGCAATCCAATTGATATAAATCAATATTTTAGTATAAAAAATAATTCATCAGAAATTCTTCAAATTGCTGTAAAAGATGAACATGATGGTGGAACATTTACATGTATAGCATCAAATTCAATAGGAAAAAGTGAAAGGAATTTTTTAGTTGATGTATTTCTACCACCAACATTTGATTATGTATCAACAAATCGTCATAAAATTCAATTAAATCGTACTTATACATTACCATGTTTAGTTAAAGGTATACCAAGACCAATAATAAAATGGTTAAAAAATGAAAAAATATTTCCTATTGATGTAAGTATTTATACTTACGAAAAAAAGAAAAATATTTTCTTATTTTAGAATAAACGTATTGAATTATTTCGAGATGGTCAATATCTTGAAATTCGAAATATAAATGAATATGATGCAGGAATGTATACATGTTTAGCAGAAAATCTAGCAGGAAAAGCAAAACAAATACTTGAATTACAAGTTTTAAGTAAGAATTTAATTTTTATCTATTAAAATTTGCTTTTTTTTTCACCTTAGTTCCACCACGAATTGAAAATGATACGACAAATATTGAAGCAATTTTTAATTCAACTGTAAATTTAACATGTTCAGCATATGGAAATCCTAAACCTACAGTAAAAAAACGAATCAATCATATCGATATTTATTAAATTTGTTTTTTTTTAATAGATTGTTTGGTTTAAAGAAGGTCGACATTTACAATATGGTAATCATTATTTATCAATAACACTTTCGTCGATAAAAAATAACGAACAAATAATTTATACATGTATTGCTTCGAATGAAGCTGGTAATGTTGAACAACATTATCGTATTAATCGTTTAGGTATGAAAGAATAAAATGTAGTATATATTTCTGTTATAAATAGAAGTAGTACTGAGTAATTATAGTTTTCTTTTTGAATAGCAATAAGTGTAGGATGAAGATGTTTAGAACGATAATAATCAGTAACATGCGATCTTCTCTAATCGAAAGCCGTTTAAAAATAATCATCAAAATGATCTGTTATCTTGATGAAATGTTATATTTAACCTAGATTTTAGATAGAAAGACTTCACATCTATAATTCAAATTATATGTTTTCTTATTTTTCATTACATTTCCGTTGACATATCAAGATGTTATGACAAAGAAAAATGTCGACTAAATCAAAAAGTTCTCTACTAGCTATACATGCAAATAGTTGATTCTATCTAAAGTCTCTCTATTTAAAGCAAAGGTCAACAGGCAAATTTCATCTAGATATTAGATCATTTACATGTTTTCTAAAATATGATTAATTTTTCGAACTCTTTCGATTAGTAAAAATCGTAGGCGGGTAGACATTATCATTTTTAAAGAGAATTGAAGTGTAAATAATATTATCTACTCATTACACCTTTGAATGGTTGACACTTCAACAGATTTTATTTTAAATTTAATGGGCGAATACAAGTTTTCTTTCTGTTTTTAAATAAATTGCTAAGGAAGTAAGAAAATCTAATAAAATAATATTTAGTTCCTCCATCAATTGATTCAATATCAATCACTCCTACATCAACACCAATAGCTGGTAATCATTTTACTCTAGAATGTAATGCTTATGGTATTCCTGAACCAATAATTTCCTGGGAATTTAATAAGTAATTTAATCTATCGAATAAATAATATAAATCAAAACATTTGTTTTCTTAGTCATCGATTATCATCAGGACATAATCGATATTATCAAGTAATTCATGCATCATTAAATAATACTGGTTTATATACATGTTTAGCTGAAAATAAAATTGGTATTATGAAAAAAGATATACATATTGATGTTCTTTGTACGTTTATGATATTAATTTTTACTGACATAATAAAATCTTCTATATTATTAGTACCACCATCAATACTTAATAATGGTCAAATGATAAATGAAATAACAAAGTTAAACGGTGAATCTCTTGTTTTAACGTGTTTACTTCATGCTCATCCTTTACCAACGATTATTTGGACAAAAAATGATCAAATTTTATTTGATTCTGAAAGGTTTACATAAAAATCTTTTTTTTTATTAAACTTAATTTTTTTTCTTCAAGAATATTAATACAAGATAATAATCTTAAATTATATATTGAAAATGTATCTTTAATTGATCATGGTCGTTATCAATGTCAAGCAGAAAATTTAGCTGGTCGTTCACAACAAATATTTGATATTCAGATATATGGTAAAACAAAAAATAATTTAGAAATAAAAACTAAATTTTTTTTCTTTCAGTACCACCGGAAATTCATTCATCAAATATTAACCGCAATCCATATGTCATACTGGGAAAAAGTATTATTTTATCATGTTATGGTTTTGGTGTACCACAAATAAATTATAACTGGTTAAAAGATGAAAAAAGTCTATTAGGATCTCATTCTTATGCTAGGTAGATTTATAATTAATTTTATACTAGATTATATTGCTCGAATTTATTAATAGATTATTAGAAAATGGTGAAAAATTACAAATTGATGCAGCACATTTATCTGATGCTGGTTCATATACATGTCAAATGTCAAATGTAGCTGGTCAAGTCAATTTAACATATCAACTAGATGTTTTTAGTATGAAATATATATTTATTTGAAAAAGAAAATTCAACAGAATATATATTCTAGCACCACCAACGATTGATCGATCGAATTTAGTTGAAATTTATCAAGTGAAATCAAATCAAACAGCTCGTCTAGAATGTCCTATGTACGGAAAACCTACACCTCATATAATCTGGTTAATAAATGGACGAAATTTAAAAATAAATGAGGGTAAATTTAAAAACATTCACAAAATATACATAGTTGATCCGTTTTGAAATCATATAGATCGATATAAATTAATTGATGATAACCGAATATTAATTATAAATTCTGTTAATCAAAATGATAATGCTCGTTATACATGTATTGGTACAAATATAGCTGGAGAACTATCAAATCATATTGAATTACAAATATTTGGTATATAGAAAAAAAAATTCTTATTTTTTTTGTATATTTTTATTATCGCATTTTAGTTCCACCAATAATACAACGTGAACCAAATGAAGATAATGTTAATGTCATTCAACATCATCATATTGCATTGACTTGTACACCTCAAGGTTGAAATATAATTATAGAAAAAAATAATATTTCATTTTCTTTTTCTTTTAAGGTGATCCATTACCTTCTATATCATGGGAAAAAGATGGTCTACCTATTGATACATTCAATTCACGATATAGGTAAAGAAAATTGAAAATATTCTTTTATTTATTTAATTATTTATTATATTTTAGGATTGGTCCAGGTAGTTTACAATTATTAATTATTCAAGCTGATCCATCTCAAGCAGGAATTTATACTTGTCTGGCATATAGCAAAGCTGGTGAAGCAAAACAGCAATTTCGTTTAACAGTATTAAGTATTGAAATATAATTTCTTTTCTTTTATTAGATCATAATGAGATTTTCTCTATTTTTAGTTCCTCCAAGAATTCAACGAGAAAATACATCCTATCTCGTTATAGCTCCAAAACCTATTGAACTTCCCTGTCAAATAATACAAGGATATCCGACGCCTATTGTCACGTAATAAAAAGGAATATAACTTATTAAAATTTTTTGTCTTTAAATATATTTAGATGGTTTCATAATAATATCGAATTGAAAACATTTGAAAATAATATTGATTTAAAGTATAAAATTTCATCATCAAATAGTTTACTTCTTCTTCATACATCAAAATATGATAATGGTAAATATCAATGTATGATAATAAATGAAGCTGGACAAGATTCTATTGAAGTTCATCTTGATATAAATGGTAAACATTTTTTAGTATTCTTCTCACTTCTTTTTTTTCTTTTCTCATTAACGCAATTTTTTTTAACATGCTTCCTAAACATGACAAACAATAACGTTTTTTTTCTCTTCCGTCTTTTTCTTCTTCGTCTTCTTTTTTTTTTAATGCGACATATACTTTTACTTTTTCTGTTTAACATTCTATTAGTTCCACCAATAGTTACAGTAGAAAGTAATGAAATTATTGGTATAGTTAATAAACCTATTACACTTAATTGCCAAGCAGATGGACATCCATTACCAGTTATTTATTGGACAAAAGCAAGTCGATCAATAGACACACAACCAGGTAATATATATATAATTATTGCGTCGTAAAATGAATAAGATTCTTTTGTTTTTCCAGGCTTTCAAATATTGAATAATGGTTCATTAAGAATTCATCATTTACAAGTTCAAGATACAGGTTATTATTTATGTTGGGCAGAAAATCTTGTTCGACGAACTTATGCACAAATTCGATTAGAAGTTCAAGGTATATCGTTCATTTTGGGATTTGTTTTTTTCTCAAAAATTTCTTTTGATTTAGTTCCACCATCGATTGATCAAATCGAAAGACATTATACAGGTATTGTTGATCAATCAATAAAACTATCTTGTCAAGCTAATGG